GTGACCCAGGGATGGATGGTCTTCAATCATTTATCCAAAAGCAGCCAGTGGTTTGGGGCAGACTCCTCACTCTGTTAGTGATCTTGTGAAGCTCTTTTTTTTTTTTTTTTTTGATGTAAAAACTGAACAGAACAATGTCAATGAAAATACACTTGCAGTGGCCACAGCATATGAGAGATGTAGTGAAAGGGAAGGTCAGATTTTTCTGTAACTGCAGAAAAGCATTCTAACCCCAAAGGATCCTAATTTAGGAAGGGAAAGAAAAAGATGAGGGAGAGAGCAAAGTATGTGTGTGTGGGTGAGTGGGTGGGTATGTGTACGTGTGCATGTGTGTGTCTATGTGTATGTGTGTGTGTGTGTGTGTGTGTGTGTATGTGTCTGTGTGTGTGTAAGGAGAGAGGAAGGGTGGGAAGGAAAATCTAAATGAGAGAGAGCATTCTTGTTTGAGACCTACACCACACTCGGGGAATTTTCCACTTGCAGGCCAGAGTGTCTGGGGTATTTCCCCTGCCTGGCATGTGTGGTCTTACACTGCCAGGCAGTGTTCCAAACCCCTCTGGGAGATACACATCTCCCTAGAGGAGGCTCTGTTCGTGACCGGTATGGCTCTTCCTCTTTTGTGCCGTACCTTTGCGATTAACTGACAAGGATGCTGGAAAATATTCCACTCTTCCTGGGTGCGGGGGGGGCGGGGGCGGGTGGTGGTTCCTGAACAGTCCAGAGGACGTCTTGGTAACTAGCCACTATGGGGTCTTTTGCTCTGGAAAATCAGGATAATAGGAGACAGGTAAGACCTTGGATCACTCTTCACTAGGTACCTAACCCACCTCTCAGCAATGCTAAGGGAAACAAGGGGACCATTTGGCCTGAGATGCAATGTCAATATGAAAATGACCAGGTTTTCCTGAATTGGGTTTTTTGTTTGTTTTCTAAGTAGTGGATACTCTAATCACTTAGTTTCTCAAAATTCTGTGAAACTACCTTCCAGACACTCATGAGTTCTTCTTCCTCTTACTCTGCTGGTCTGCAGAGCAGACCAGTGACTCTGGTGTAGGGGATTATAAGGAGGAGATCTGCGACCAGGCAAGACAATCTCTTTGAATTCTTCAGTGGATCTAAAAAAAATGAATTCATGCCCCAAACCAAGAGATCAGTGTACGAGCTTAGAGGCTCAGGTGCCATGTTTGAGACCGTCCCTACCCATCAAACAGGGAAAGGAGCTGCACTCCCCATCCCCTCCCAACCCTGGCAGCAGCCTCCGTTCCAAAGCCACTACCTCGTCCTCCCACATTTTTCCCAGCAGTGGCCCACCCTCACTTGCCGTCCCTGCCCCCAACTCCGTCAGCACTTTGAGGTCCCTCCACAACAGCCCCCTTTCTTCTGTGCTATTTTGGCACAGGTGAGTCCTCACTTCCCAATCACACTGAAGGGCCTTGGTTGTAGGCACCAGGTCCCATACATCTTCATTTCCCAATCTCCTCTGTATGGTTCCCTGGCACAGTCGACCCTCTTAATGAGAACTGGCTGGTTGGCTGTTAGTCGTTAAGTGAACACTGCTCTGTGAAGAACAGTGACAGCCAGCCTCCCTCTCTGGATAACGTCTATCGTGGAAAATGTGAAGCCCCAAATTTCAGATCACCGCATCCTCACATTCATGAGACGTCTTGGTGAGTTCCCATCAAAGTCGTGAGCCAGCAATGCAGGCAAACAGCCAGACACTGTGTATCCAGCCCGCTGGGAAGAAGACAAGGCAGACTGTCTTCTCTATTGGAATGGTCTTCCCAGGTGGTGCAGTGATAAAGAAGACATCTGCCAGTGCAAGAGACGTGGGTTTGACCCCTGGGTAGGGAAGATCCCCTAGAGGAGGAAATGGCAACCCACTCCAGTATTCTTGCCTGGAGAATTCCATGGACATAGGAGCCTGGAGGGCTACAAAGAGTCGAATGTGACCGAGCACCCACACACACACACAGGAGGATATAGGTGAAATGCATTGTTCTGCCCATAGCCAGAGACCTTGCATACACATGTGGAGGAGTTGAGGGAGGAGGGTCTTCTTTGGCCCCAGTACAGTACTGAGAGTCTGAATTCAGATTTTGGAGTCAGACTGACCTTAGCTTGAATCCACACAGGGGCCCGGAAGGAAGCAGGGTCATGTAAGCACAAAGGTTGAAAGTGGAAGTTGTGTGGGTGGTAAGATGCATTCCTGATCTGTGTTCTCTTAAAGGTGGGGCTCACTGCACTCTGCATCAACCCACTCACAAACACACACGCCTCCTAAAAGAGTCCTGGAGTATCCTCTCCAAGTTTTTCCTCATTTAAGAAGTTTAGTTCCAGGTCCCTGCCCTGCCTCTCTCCCCAGCCAGGCCTCCATGTGCTGGCTGTCTTGTCCCCTTCCTGGGAAGGTGCTGCTTCCAGCCTCTGCCTTGAGCTCCTGGCTCACCCCTTCTCCCTCCAACCCGTCCTTGCCTTTTCCTTACTAGAACTACAGGGACCCAGTGGACATCCACACATCCTGCCAGCATTCTGAGGAAACAGGCTGAAGTTTCTCTCTTGGCCTCAACAGAAAAGGAAAGTGGCCCATGAAGAGCAAAGAGGCTTCTGAAAAAGAAAGCTCTTAACCAAACACAGATATCAAGAATATTAGCAAGGGGACTAGAGAAAATTGCTATCAAAGTAAATGGCTTTTTGTACAAATGTTCCCTTTATTGGGATTTTCCCCAGTGTGTCATTCTTTCTTTAAGGCTTCATGAACAGATGCGCTTTTGAAAATGTTGATTAACTTATCCTTTTTTTGACCCCTTCCCACTCACCCAAACTCCTGGGAGCAGTGATTATGCAAAAAGCCAAGTCAAGCGTCTAAAGTGTTCTTCACCTGAAGTAGCCTTTGATCCTCCAGGTGCAGAAATCTCAGCCACATCTGGGTAATCAATTTCATAGAACCTTAAAAATGGACCTATTCTTGTGGGGGAGGGTCATCTCATCCAGTCCTCTGCCCACAGAGACAAGTGGCTGTGATCTCCTGGGACAAAATGTTCTCATAGTCATTTACCATCCTCTTACCCTTTTTCCTCCAAGATCAATGCCACATCCACTCCTTTCCAGCTGGTGATCAATAGTGTGTTAAGAATTCTTCCCTGAGGGTGTGAGATGGAGCAAGATGGCACTCTAGCCTCCAAAACTTTGTCACATCCTTGGCAGAGATGGAATCCCTAAAAGCAAGAACAGGATTTGGCCCAAAAGTCACTGGCAGGAACCCCGCAGTTTTCATCCTGGGTTGATCCACATATTCTTTCTTATCCAGTTGTTCTGCTTCTTTTAACCATGAAGGTGTTAAGATGTATAAGCATCCCATAAAGATGATTAATTGGTAGAAATGTGATGGTTTTCTTCCATGTTTGTTTTTCTCGTAAGGTTTAAAAAAAAACCCTGCGTTGATTTCCACGAGCCTGATTTGATCCCTATGACAGACACCACCTGCCTCTTGTTGATTCACGTTTACATCTTCATTCCAAGGGCACAGCCTGCATTCTAGAGGCCTGGAGAATAATGTAGGGATGGGCACTGAGGTGCGGAAGTTGGCAGGGCCTACAGGTACTAGTTGCTGTGCTATAAACATGCCAGGAACAGACTGGATTTATGGAGGATCGGTGCCACATGGCATTCATCCTTTCCAGTGGGGTCTTGGCATTTTGTTTTCTGCATCCCTCACTAGTGACGAAGAGAATGAGACTGTGCTTTAACACTTTGGCCAGGAGTGAGGAAGACTTCTAACAGGATGAAAACCACTGCCTACAGGGGAAGACTGAATGTCAAGCATGGCAGTGATGGATCGATCCTCAGTTCAGATCATGATCAAGTAGATCTTCCCCAAGATTTTGTGCAGATGAGGGAAAGTTCAGGCTGGTCTGAAGTCCTTTTGTTCCTCTTGTTTGCTAGTTTAGCTCTTTGGAAGCTTGAGTTTGTGTTCAGTCTTGACTTTTTTGGATGTAAATTTATAGTGCTGACATCAGGGTAGCTCACCTGACTTTGAGTTGAATGAAATTTCTGAAGGGCCACATACACTCAGCGGTGCCACTTTGACCTGACAGCCGGGACAGGCATCATTAACTCATAAGACAGGAAGAAATGACACGACCCTGTTCTTCACCACATATGTGATTCTCTTTTTTTAATATTTTACCATCTTAGACAGGTAATTTCCATTGGCTCTGATTTCTATAAGATGGACAGCAAAGTGAATAGAGACCTGTATTAGCCACCCCCCTTCCCGCAAAAAATTATCATAAAAAAAGAAAAAGATAGACAGTGATAATACTGGAGAAAATTCGGAGTAAATTAACTTAGCTCTATTCAAGCCTGGGCGAGTCAGCTTGGGTGCCTGTGTTTGATCTATTCTAAACTGTGAAGAAAGCCAATGGGCAAAATAGACTGGGAAGGAAAGAGAAAAGTATTAGCACAGATATGTGGGGGTGGACAGGCGTTATAACATTCTTTCCAGTTCTAGTTCTATAAATACACTAAAACATATAATGATGAAATGTGACTTACTTAAATCCCATTTATTGCAATCCAGAGGAGAAAGACTCTGGTACCTTGTGTCCACTTAGATGCATCCAGATGAGGAGGGGCGGTGTGTTACACCAGATGAACATCACAGTCATGCAACTGGTGATGGACATGAGACCACTGAAGCTGCCTTAGATAAAACTCAGACCTACACTGGTTGTAAACAACAGGTTATAAAGATACAAGCTAGCATCTCCTGGGCACTTGAAGCCTTTCTCATTGTTTCTGTTCTTCTGGTTGTTGTTGAAAGTAAAGTCAAATCATTTGAAGGGGGGTGGATCCAGTAATGTACATACTGAATGATCTAGAAGCAGATGCAATTCTTTCGCTTCCCACATGATGGGGAATCATTGTCAGCAAGGTGGCATCTCTGCCTTTTAGCCACTCGAACCTGTTATGACTGATCTCTTAAATTTTCTTTCTTGTTATAGTGGACATCCCAGAAATACATGGGAGAGAGGGCTATGAGGATGAAGTTGATGGTAAGTGTTGCTATGATTTAGAAGATAATCATGAAAGTCAAGTTTGGCTATAAAGCCATCAACAAAAATAATGCCCAGCGTATGGGAAGGCCAGAATTCAGAACTATCAGCCGGAAATATGTGACAAGAATCCAGAGAGAAATGAAGAAGCCATCAATTTCTCTGTCAAAGTCAAATTTAGAGAGTTAGAAAGTTTATTGAGTTTCCTCTGCCTAATCTGAAATAGGTCCCCTACATTGGGCAACTTTTGACACTGATGAAATTTAAATCTGAATAAACCCTTTAGAAGTGAAGCCAGGCTCCTCTATACATGTCACTGCTCGAACCCATTGACCTACTTCCAAAAAGGGCTTAGTGGATAACTGTCAGTGTGAACATTCAGGCCTGCTAAGATTTCTGATTCCATGGCTTTCAGGAACCAAGGTGGGGCCTGTTGCAGGATTTAGGTCTCATCCACACTACCTATCTCATTTTTCATACTTATTCCAAGCTCTGTTTTCCTACTTCAAATACACATATTCCATGAGGCTGAAGCAGGAGTTCTGACTGGAGGGCCGCTGAGCAAACACCCAGATGTAATATCTTTCCTCCACTCAGAGGAGCACAGGTCTCTCTAGGCGTCTCTGAGAGCCAGAGTTGATCTCCAAGAGAGATCACTAAGGTTCGCCTCAAAGAGCAGCTTTAGACCAAGATTGATGCCTTTAAGACTAGCAGTTTATAGAGCTGCTTTTTTTAACCTGACCTTAATCAAACACTTCAAGTGTAGTTATAGAAACGGAGTGACTAACCCAAACAGCACCTTGTTAACTGAATGCAGACTCCCCCTGCAAAGCCTGGTCTAACGTTCCTTTTATGGGCAAAGCTGCACAACTGGCCTTCACAGAAAGGCTGTGATGGATCAAGCAGCAGAAGCCCTAGATGGGGTAGAAAGAGTAAAATATGAGGATGCAGAAAGCCTGACTTCTAGTCCTAGTTTAACTCTTTGCTAACTCTGGGCACTTGAGTGAGTTACCTAATCACTTAATTTCTCAAAGCCTCAGTTCCTCATCTATTTTTTTCAAATTATAGTATCACCCTGCCTTCTTTGTGGGATTATTAGGAAATCCCGCAAAATTTGCCAGAGATGTGGTCATGCCTTGATCACACTATAGAAATGTATTAGTTTGCTTGAGTGGCCATGACAAAATACTGCAAACTGGGTGGATTAAACAACAGAAATTTATTTCCTCACTGTTCTAGAAGTCCACGACCCACGGTACCAACAGGGCTGTCTTCTTCTGTGGCCCGTGAGGGAAGGATATGGACCGAACCTTTTTCCTTGGCTTGTAAATGACCATCTCCATGTTTCCATGGCATTCTCCCACCTGTATCTGCCTCCAGATTTCCCCTTTTTACAAGGACACTGGTCATCCTAGATTAGGGCCCACCCTAAGGACCTCATATTAACTTGATTACCTCAGTAAAAACCTATCTTCAAAGTAAGGTCACATTGTGAGGTACTAGGGGTCAGAATTCAACATCTGAATCTGGGATAACACATAGCAGTAAGGTAAAGTTTAGGTCATGAGGCCTGGTGGATCCAAAAAAAAAAAAAATCTACTGCTTGGATGACCAGGAATGCCAAATTCGGAAACTCATCATGTTAAAATAGTCTCAGCCTGTTCTTTGATTTAACATGAAACAGCTAGAAGTAAGGGATAAGGAGACAAAGGAAGAAGTGGGTACAGAACAGAGGGCCATTCCAAGAGCTCTAAAGGCACCCTGTGAAAATCTAAGCTCACTTAATATGACTCAGACTGTTTAAGTATCAGATACTTAGACCATACTTACTTTGTGCTGGTGCAAATGTTAATTCATTCAAACCTCCTAACAACCCAGTGAGGTTAGTAGTAGTACCATTTCACAGATGAATGAACTGAGGCAAAGAGAAACTAAATAACTTGCCCAAGGTTATGCAGCTAGGACAAGATGGGGCTGGGTTTTGAAGCCAAGCAGGGCTTCCCTTGTGGCTCAGCTGGTAAAGGATCCGCCTGCAATGCAAGAGACCTGGGTTTGATCCCTGGGTTGGGAAGATCCCCTGGAGAAGGGAAAGGCTACCCACTCCAGTATTCTGGCCTGGAGAATACCGTGGACTGTATAGTCCATTGGGTCACAAAGAGTCAGACACAACTGAGCGACTTTTACTTTCAGTGTAGTTCCAGAGTCGAACAGCTTAGCCTCAGGTTCTGAAAAACCTCTGAATTGGGCTGGGGGGAGCCTCAGTTATTTCTCAAAGAAGCAGTGTCTGCAGTCTCTCGTGTCCTTTACGTCCTAGATGACTACGAGGTGGACTGGAGCAACTCTTCTTCCCCAACCTCCGGGTCTGGGGCCCCTCTGGCTGACAAAGAGAAGAGCTGGCTTTACACCCTAGACCCCATTCTCATCACCATCATCGCCATGAGCTCGCTGGGCGTCCTCCTAGGGGCCACGTGTGCGGGGCTCCTGCTCTATTGCACCTGCTCCTACTCCGGCCTGAGCTCCCGCAGCTGCACCACGCTGGAGAACTACAACTTCGAGCTCTACGACGGCCTCAAGCACAAGGTCAAGATGAACCACCAGAAGTGCTGCTCAGAGGCCTGACAGATTGCACCCAAATCGCACCTGACGTTTCATTCCAGCAAGAGGGGCTAGTGAAAATTACCATTTTTTTTTCCCCTTTGGGAACTGAATGCCATAATCTCGATCCAACCGATCCAGGATACTGAAGGTGTGGACAGAACAGACAGGCGAGTCGAGGGAGGCGGGGAAATGCAGTCTTTCGGGGGGTTGGGACCCACCTGAGACCACGTGGCTGAATCATTTGCTGGGACAAGGATGGGCGCTCATCTCTTTGGTGGTCACAGTTCTATTTTGTTTGTGAGTTTGTTACTAATTCTGTTTTATTTCTTTGGTCTGTGAGCAACTCAAAGAGGCAGAAGAGAATGACTTTTCCAGAACAGAGCAGAGTGGTGATCAGTAGTCTCTGCTTTTTCTTCCTAACCAACACTTGGAAAGCAAAGGGTCTTTTCAGACTCTCCATCTTTAGAAAATAAACTCCCCCAAAAAGCCGTCCAGTTTATCCCACCCTCAGATCGTCTCATGACTTCCAGGATTTCTGTGGTATAGCTTCTGCCAGCCAACTTGACAAGCTGCCGTTTCCAGTCCTAGCATTTCAGTAGGATGTTGTTGCCTTTAACTTTTTTTATCCAGGGGAAAATTGCCATTTTAGGGTCAGCATGAACAGCTCTTTCTTATATGCGATTTAAAACAAACCAGAAAGGAAACTTCACACGTCAAAATCCTTAGAAGCGCCTCCATGTTAGAAGCGGACAAGCCTTAACGTGCTTTGTGAATAGGAGCCATTCATTCAGTCCAGACCCAGAACTTCTGGCTGTGAGGCTACTTTGTGGGGCCTCTGGTGGTGGTTTTGCTTTCTCTTCTCCTTCGTCCTTGTTCTTCTAAAGCATACGCACATGCACCACATGCACACACACATACAAGCATGCACACACACATATATACCCATGCATACATGCTAATTATCAGGTCTCGGAGCCCCAGGAAACAGCATTGTTTGACAGTCTCTGAGATGGCGCGGGGGAAATATAAGCTATTAGTATGTTCGTCCATCAGTGAGACATCACTAGTGACAACTGATGGGAAAGGAAGAGAACAGAGGAGAGAGAAAAAGAAGTCCATCGTCTGTGATCACGTGATAGTAAAGACTGAGAGGACTGGAAAAGACGTTCTGATGTATCGTCTCTGTTGGGCTAGTCAACACAGACTTCTCCTTGGGGTGACAGCTGCCACCTCCACCTTTCAGAAGCATCAGTAGCTCTACAGTGCCCAAGAGCTGGTTCTAACCAAAAGTCTGCACACCCTGTGGACCAAAATGCTAATGCTGCTTCAACCCCAGAGAGACCTGTGTTCTTACATACACCGCACACACACACACACACACACCAATTTATGTATTTTTTTATCAAGTGCCTTGAAAAACTGAAGAAAAAGCATATTTTTCCTTCTATGTAGAAATCAGTGAATACCATACAAGTTAAGGCATTCCTCTGTTCCTCTTCCCTCACCCAGTGGCTCCATGCCCAGCTTCCCCCACACCACTGATCCTATGGATGGAGTAAGGCCTGCCACCCGAGTGGTAATCGTAGCCCAAGATGACTCTCAACTGCTCTAGAAGGGGAGGCATCTGGAATCGCATGAAACCGTGTGAAGGAGAAGATTGTCCGCGTCAGGATCCAAATCTTGATTTTGTAGTAACGCCTACAGCTTGCCTGTGTGCTGGAAATACATTTGAAACCCAAACAGTATGCCCAGCCTATTGCTAATCAGTGGTGAACTGTCAGACCATTTTTTGCTGCTATGGTCACCCACGATGTCATTTGTCTCATACCCAGGTGAAAGGGGAAGGGTGAATGGGACTGGCTGGTTCCTTTCAATGTTAACTTATGGAAATGCTAGTTCAAGTGGTAATGTCACAGTGTTCCGTGTGAAGAGAGGGAGCGTTCATACCGACAGCTATTTATTCCTGTCTATGTGTGTCTTTGCCAGTCTTTGAGTTCTGTGTGTGTATGTGAATGGTCACGTGGGACTCAGTGGTGGTGTTGTGACTTTGACCTAGGCCCGAGTGTCACTGCTGATCTTGGCACTCGTTGGCACAGTGGTAGTTAAAGGTGAAAAGTGAAGCTGTCAAGCCCAAGGCCTTAGCTTCAGGCCCTCCTGAGCTGAGCGTGTGGCAGAAGCAAGTTCTTAATTAGCCCACTTCCTCTTCACCTCCCCGTGTAACTCAGTGTTCCGGAAGTGAGCACGTCCAAGGGTTTCCAGAGTTAACCTGCAGAAGAAGAGAGTTGAAAAGTTGACACCGAGGGCCCTGGCCCTCTCAAGTCCCGTGGGCCGTTCTACAACTCCCCAAAGACCAGCCTCGTCTCCAACCCGCAGTTCACCTCTCAGTTATGTACAACTCAGCCTACATCCCTCTAATGTCCTATATCCATATTCACCGTTGGCTGGTTTGAGGCCTTGAGCAGGCCAGCCAGAGCTACATGTAGATACCTCACCAGCCCTGGAGGCTGGTCTGTTGTAAGACAGAAAGGCAGCAGGACCCTGATTATAACCTGGCCCGGGGACACGCTGGTGCATTTGTCGTTGCTATCTGCAGGTAGGCTGGCCGACCCGTCTCCTTGACTCCTCCCCCTTGGGAAACCCAGCTCACAGTGTTGATCTCCTTTTATGCCTTGTACTGAATAACACATTACCTCCGCGCTCTCCCGGACTAGGCGGTCAACAGGGCCACAGGGCTGCTTCCTCTCTTAGGTGGGCATGGGGAGTTGACAGGAATGAGGGTCCGAGGAATGAGCATGAATGGCAAGAAAACAAGGGGAAAAGTTAAACTGTCACACAGGAGGTTAACTTTTCCAAGGTTAGCTGTTAAAGGTATTTGACCATCCACTGGCTGAGCCAGATCAAGGGAACTTGAGAGCTTTTACTGTGATTCTTCAATGTAAAAAATAAACAACAATGTCAAACTGTGTTTATATGATTTGTATAAAACCTTTTTAAGATTACTATTTAAATAAACATTATTCCAGAGATATTTTTCTGCATTTTTTTATTGGAGACAAAGAGACTTGGGTTCACCTTGGGTGACCAAAAACATCCTAGTTTGCCTGAGACGTTCCTGGGTTTTAGCTCTGAAAGTCCTGTGGTCCTGGGAAATCCCAGCCAAATCAGGATGGTTGGTCACTCTCTTGGGATAATGCTTCTGAGCACCTTTACGTGCCGTTAGTAAGTAGATTGGCTAGCTGGCTTTTTATAAAGTGAAAATATTATATGGGCAGGTAATGAGTTATGTGGCCAAGTAGACCATTTCAGCTCATAGACCTGCCTGGTAGATTTCTGAGACTGTGAGCCCTACTAACATTCCTCCTCCCTGGCCATCACCAGTCCCCTGTGATTTTTGACTCTGCTGTTTCTTGTCTATGGAAACATTTGCTTGTCAGTATCTCTGGTGATTTCAAGGTCTATAACAGTGCTTCTCAAAGTGTGGTCCCTGGACCAGAACTATTAGCCTCACTTGCGAACTTGTCGGAGGTGTACACTTTCAGACTCCACCCTACATCTATGAATCAAAAAGTCTGGGAGGATGACCTAGAGATTTACATTTTAACATGCCCTCCAGGGGGTTCATGGGCTTCCCCGGTGGTTCAGTGGTAAAGAATCTGCCTACAATGCAGGAGACTTGAGTTCCATCCCTAGGTCAGAAATATCCTCTGGAGGAGGAAATAGTAACCCACTCCAGTATTCTTGCCTAGAGAATCCCGCGGACAGAGATGCCCGGCAGGCTGTAGTCCATGGGGTCCTAAAGAGTCGGACACGGCTAAGCAACTGAGCACACCCATACCCACCAGGGGTTCAGATGCACCTTCGAGTTTAAGAACCTCTGGTCTAGGAGAAAGGAAAAGTAGCCTGGCTTCACAAAATGGTCAGAGATCTTTTCACCTGTGGGTTATTGGATTCAAAACAAACTGGACTTTGGCCAGGGAAAGCTAAAGGAGACCCAGTACACTCCTAGGCAATGCCCGCTTCCAGGGGAGGAGGAGTGAAAAGCTTTACTATGAACTTCTCAGCCTACCCCCTCCACCCCCAACATATATGGGAGATTTGAAGATGGGTACCCGAACTGAATTTGCCCCCATCCTGAGTTCAGTTCACATTTGGTTCAATCGTTTATTCAAGAAATGTTTTTGAGCATGTCCTGATTTTGTAAACTCTTGGAGCTTACACAGTGAAGTGGATGGAAAACAAACAGCCAAACACATAAAATAAGGATTGCTTTTGGTAAATTCGGTGAAGGCCATAAACACATAATAACTCTGATAGAGAATTGCCAGATACTGAAGGTAGAATATTTGTGTCACTTGAATTCATATTTGTAAAGCACAGTTATTTATCACAGATGTTATAGCATGCACATGCTCAGTTGTGTCTGACTCTTTGTGACCCCATGGTCTATAGGCCGCCAGGCTCTTCTGTCTATGAAATTCTCCAGGCAAGAATACTGGAGTGGGTTGCCATTTCCTCCTCCAGGGGATCTTCCCAACCCAGGGATCAAACCCACATCTCCTGTGTCTCCTGCATTTCAGGCAGATTCTTTAACTGCTGAGCCATTGCGGGAAGTCCCAATGTTACAGAATTTTGGTGAATTATATTAAATACAACTTACCTATAGTCAATAAATTATCATAATGAACCTAATGAATCTGATATAATACAACATATCTCTTAGAAGCTATTTTTAAAAAGAATTATCAGGGCCTCTCCCTCTAAAAGGTTGATCAGGGAAGCTTCCCTGAGGAGGTGATATTTCAGATATTTTAGATAATAACCGGCAAAGGCGAGGACGACTCAGCTAAGCAAAGTACGTAGGGAAAGGTTTCCCAATTGAAGGAACAGCATATAGAGATCCTGCTATTAGAAACAGCTTCCTGTGTTCCTAGGCCCACAAGGTAAGGCTGTGAAAGCATGATCAGCAGTGGGGATGGCATGGAGACGGAAGCCAGATAAGATTCTTTAGGCAGTGAGGAGTTGCTGTCTTGCATCATTCTTTGGCCTTCCTTAATTTATAGATTGGTTGGATGGCATCACCGACTCAATGGACATGAGTTTGATTGAACAAACTCCAGGAGATGGTGAAGGGCAGGGAAGCCTGCTGCAGTCCATGGGGTCGCAAAGAGTCAGACATGACTGAGCAACTGAAAAACAGCAATTTATAGAGAAGGCAGCCCTCAGATGCACCCATCCCCATTCGTCACCGGCCAGTAAGGTCACCCCAGCCATAGCTCTGCAGCTTCGCTTTCAGCCTCTCTTGCGATCTTCATCATATCATGTGTCTCTTGAGATGCCTGCTTCTACCATTTTACTGACCCTAGCAGCAATAACAGAGGTTAAAATGAAAGCAAACTTCTGCTTTCCTTTAGTCTAGCTTGTGGGTATTTTTAAAGCCCCAGCCATCTAATACCTCCTGGTCCCTAGCCATCTAGTGTTTATGTAAGATCTTTTTTTTTTTTCCTTATCTGCATCCTTCTGGAAATGTTTATAGTGTCCTCAGGGGAGGCAGTGAAATGAAGTTGGAACAGGCCCATCCTTAGGAGAACAGGATCCATCTGGATGCCCGAGGCTCCTTTGCCCCTTGCGACGTTGGTGGTGGTGATGGGGGTGGGGGAGGGGGTGCTCAAAGAAGACAGAGAAAGATTAGTCTATTCCAGTTCTCACAGGCTTCAGCATCCGGTTGCAGACCGAACTAAACAGAACTCCTAGGGAAGTGTCTCCCCTGGGGGTAGGGTGTGCGATGAGAGGGCTGCTGATCAGAACAGGAAATGTTACCTGTGCTGAGCCTCTTCGCTTCCTTCCCTCCCCCCATGAGCTTCCCAGTAACTTTAACTGCCGGTTCCCATCAACAAAAGGGAAGGGTCCGATGAAGCCCAAGGCCTGTGGCAGAGGTTCGGCTGGCTGGTCCCTGGATTCCCACCTCCCAGAAGCCTGTTGCTCACCCCCAAGGCCAGTCCTCTTGTCCCTGGCTCTCCCGGGTGACCCTGTGAGGAGCTCCTGGTGGAAGGACACACCTCCCCTATTCTCCCTGAAGGTGGGCCGGGGAACCTCCGATGGAGCCTTGGGTCAAGTTGTTTCTGCAGCTTCTCCAGAAAAGGACACCTGGGTCCTCTCTCTTCCCAGCCAGAAAACCCCATAGGACACTTGTGTGTGCTGGAAGCGGGTGTCACAGCCGGCTTCCAAGGGCTGCAAGAGAAAGAGACCCTTGGCTGT